TATAATGGCCTCCTGTTAGACTGTTGTCCAGAGGGTGCCTAATGAAGAGGTGTGGCACATTCATATATGAAAAAGGCAAAGAATTGGCACTTCCGTCCAGGTTCTACTGCTTCCTACCAGAATAAATGAAGGTAATACCCCTACTGCAAAGGTACATTGTAGTGTCCACATAAGCAAGCATAGATGAAGGCATTTTATAAACTGTAAACTACTACACAAACATTAAATACGATTACCTGAGGCTGGTGAGTATCCTTTGATTCAGAAGAATATAAAATATTATCAATTCAAATCTTACATTTGTTTAATGGCGATTATTATACTTTAAATTTTCTCAGCTTGTAGCAGGTATTAACTGACTCACCCAATTTAGTTGGCCATGGGGCTCCAGTCTGCAGGGGGAATGCAAACAGCTTTGGAGAATAAGATATAAAGCAAAGGAGAGTGCTGTGCTAGCTATCTCCTCTGCTCTTCCTCCAGTCAACCACGGGGCCTTTATTTCATAGTTGCTGGGTAGTTAACGTCTTGAAGTGGGCCTTGTCTGGCATGTTTTGTTTCCTCGCTGTGACAAAGCCTCCAGGTACTGCACTAAATAAAAAACTGAAGGAGCCTCAAGGACTGTAGCTGGCTACCAGAAGCCAGTATACACAGAGTAACAGAATTACAAATTCATGGCATGGAAACACCCAATGCAACTACTCATTTTATAGACGAGGACTAGAGAGGGACAAGGTCTTGCCTAAGGTCACCAACTAAACAGCAAAGTTGGGACTCAAGCTCAGACAGACTCTATTATAAATGAGCACTGCAAGTTATGCAGTTTCCTTTAACTAAGCTTAGAGTGGGGCGGATGGATGCTAGGAGGGCCTTGAGAAAAAGGGGACTCTCTACCAGCTACACAGAGGTTGAGAGATTCTGCTTCCCTCCCTGTACCGCCAAATTCTGCCATGAGAGAAATTCTTGAATTTCTGTTTGACCCGGGAAATTACAAGATTGTGTTGCTAGGGCAACAGGTCTGTCCAGGGGTCAGTAACTCTGAAATATGTGTGTTAAGGTCCTGACTTAAGCAATAATGACGGGTACTCTCAGGAAAGGCAATGTTGTGTAAATGAAGAAAAAAAAAACCAGGCTTGGAGTCAGAAGAGCCAGGCTGGACTTTCCATATTGCCAGATACGCTTTCAAACCAGTTAAACAAGGACTATTAACTCCAAGTATAAATATAAAACGGTTCTATTTTTTTGACCACTGATTCAGTCATGCTGTTGAAACTTTT